CACAGGTAAGTGACAGAAGTACATACCAGGTCTTCAGAAGCACCACAGTCAAGTATAAAAAAAAGAATTGGAAATACTAATGAAAGAGGGTGGGAGAAAAGGGATAATAAACAAGAAAGGGTAGAAATACTTGGTTCTGGAACTGTGTAGAATTCTAGCTTAGCTAATGCGGTAAAGCATCATTTTTCAAAGAATACCCAATCAGGTGCAAGTAACATAAAAAACAGCATTTTGTGCTTAATTTTTTGCATGATTGGATGATGGAAATCAGCAGAGCTTTACCACATTCACTAAGCTCTTGGCTAAATTAGTGCAGCTGTACTTGCGAAGTGCACAGTCTATTGGACTTTAGTAAATCAACTCTACTGTGTCCACAAAAGCCTTTTTTAATGTTTGTTATATGTTCACCAATCCTTAACTGCAGTGCCCTTGTAGTTCTCCCAACATATTGTAAACCACAAGGGCACTGCAGCAGGTAAACAACAAAACAAGTAGAACAAATAATAAATTCCTGCACATTGTTGGGTTGATTTACTAAAATTGGAAAGTGCAAAATCTGGTGCACCTGTTGGCCAATCAGCTTACAATTTCAGCTTGTTCAATTAAGCTTTGACAATAAAACCTGGACGCTGATTTGTTTTTTGAGTCAAGTTTTTGTATTTTTTTTCCATAGACAACACATAAAACTTAAAAAGTCAGAATAAGAGAACATCTCATTCCAGCATATGAACATACAGTATGGGAAAGTATAAGTTAACACATATTGGGTTGCTCTCTGCATACAATATATAGATGCAAATTGATCTGGTTGTAGAATGCTCTACTAAAAGAGGACTATGTATAACTTAAATGCTTAAGAATTTCTGATGGTACCTAAACATTATGCCTATTTCCTTTAAGAGGTATGCTGATTGTGATGGGCGTGGCATCAGACCACTGTCACCTTCACCAACTTGTGACAATCGGCTGGTCAAACTTACATCCTGCTGTCACTGATATGCAATGATAACACTCAGCCTCACCCTGCACAGATTTTCCAGTTTGCGGGACCACAATCTAAGTGTCAGCAGTCCGAGAGCGATCGTCACTGGATTTAATTTTTACCACACTGCCACCAGATGGGGTTCGTCCTATCACTTGTTTGCAATACTAGTGGTAAATGACTTAAAATAAATGTCTGTTACATGCACTACACTAAAGACAGGTATATCCAGAGATTTCCACTTTAGCAGCAATTTTCAAGAGACAGGGATTTTAACACTACAAAAGATTTAATAATGGAAAAGGTAAAATGGTGTAAATAAAATATTTACATAAAAAGGGAAGTACAAGAAACAATAATGTCCTTGCAATTCCTAAGGAATTGCCTTTTGAGTATCCCCTATAGCCATGCTGCATGGTGACAGCTCTGAACAGAGATATATAACTATTGTGGGCAAATGTCCTAATACAGAGACTGCCATCCTTTATATAAATTATTATTATTATACAGAATTTATATAGCGCCAACAGTTTGCTCAGCTCTGTACATTATAAAGGGAGACAGTACACGAGACAGTACATTAACAATACGATTCAATACACAAGGGGTTCGAGGGCCCTGCTCATTGGGGCTTACAATCTAGGAGGGAGGGGATAGTGGTACAGGAGGAAATAGCTGTGGGGGATGGAGTGGTAGGAAGAGTGGAGTAGTTCAGTAATTAGCTGAGGGCGGGGTAGGCTTCCCTGAAGAGAGAGGTTTTCAGAGTGCGCCTAAAGGTGAGGAGAGTAGGTGACAGTCTGATGGATTGGGGTAGGGAGTTCCAGAGAATGGGGGAAGCCCTGGAGAAGTCCTGGAGCCGGGCATGGGAGGAGGAGACCAGAGAACTAGAGAGTAGGACGTCTTGTGAGGAGCGGAGAGTAAGTTTTGGGTGGTATTTGGATACCAGATCGGTGATGTAGTTTGGCTTGAGGGGAGGGACTGATGATGGTGTTGTTGGTCTTGATGGAGAAGTCAGGGGGGGGGGGGGCGCGGGCTGGGGGGAAAACTAGGAGCTCAGTTTTGGACAGATTTAGTTTGAGGAAGTGGAGTAAAATCCTGTCCAATATGTCGCTCAGTAGGCTTGTGATACGAGCGGAGACTGAACGGGTGAGGTGCGGGGTAGAGAGATAGATTTGCGTGTCGTCGGTATAGAGATGGTAGTTGAAGCCGTGAGAGTGTATCAATTGGCCAAGGGAGGAGGTGTAGATGGAGAAGAAAAGGGGCCCGAGGACAGAACCTTGAGGGACCCCAACAGAGAGGGGGAGTGAAGAGGAGGTGGCAGCGTTATAGGTAACACTGAAGGAACGCTGTGATAGATAGGAAGAGAGCCAGGAGAGAGCGGAGTCTCTGAGGCCAAGAGAGTGTAGTTGTTTGAGGAGGAGGAGGGGGTGGTCAACCGTGTCAAAAGCAAGATCAAGCAAGTTGACCTCACTAGTACTTTCATCATATGTCCACTTGATGCCCCATGTATTGTCATCCAAATGGGCCATGAACACCCTTAATGATTGTATATCTTCTCTCCATATAAGGAGGGCATCATCAATAATCTTCCTCCATAACACAATTTCCGCTATGGGTTGATGAAAAAGGTTTTTATTCCTTCCAGTGGACCAAAAAAAAAAAAAAATCACACTTGGAGCAAATTTGCCACCCATGGCAACTACTACTTTTTGCAAACAGAACACCATACTAGAAATAGTTGTGCTGCATGCAGAAATCTAATAATTCCAGGATAAATCACTTCTGCCTATCTGGAAGTTTCTCATCAAGGTCCATGAAGTGTTTACCATCTCCAGGGCTCTTTCATGTGGTATAATTGTGTATAATGAACATACATGAGCAGCAACTAACAAACACTTGTCATCTACATTAATCAAATTCAAAGTATTAATAGGGTCTTGCACATCTTTAAGATCTGCTGGAGTATTTTTTTACCAGTGACTGTAAGTGATATTCAACATATTTAGTTTCACGGATGTAATGGGGCGGCCCGGTGGATTATCCAAAGACTTATGAATTTTTAATAAGTTTTAAATTATGGAAATCTGGGGAGCTGATGGTATCAAGTGGGTCTTCTCTTTTTTTATTTAGAATACCATTCTCAAAACCAGTTTTGTCACTTTAAATTTATATTTAGAGGTGGGGGTCCTCCTTTGATTTTTGATAGGTATTAGTATCTGCTAAGATATTATTCATTGTATTCATATTTATTCATATTATTCATCTTATTCATGGAATCAGCCTTATTCAAAAGAATGATCCCTCTGCCCCTATCCACAGTGCGAATAATTCCATACACATAAAGCTTTAATAGTACCCTGAATGTGTTTATTGGGTCTAATTTTAATTTTCAATATATCCAGGTCTTTGCATACCATACTTGTAAAAACCATCAGACTAGTGGGCAGGGAGCCTGCAGTGTTACAAAGTGAGATCTTCAATAAATTTGTATGTTCGACCCCACCCGTGGTCCATCACCAATCTGCATGACTGGATTGCTTTAAAAATGCCTTGATAGTGAGTTTCTGAACAAACTTGTGTATGTCAGTAAGGCTCTGTTCCCACTAGTGTGACTTGCAATGCGACTTCATGGGGTTTATTTACTAAAGCTGGAGAGTCCAAAATCAGACTCCCTTCTGCATAGAAACCAATCAGCTTCCAGGTTTCATTGCCAAAGCTTCATTGAACAAGCTGAGGTTAGAAGCTGATTGGTTTCTATGCAGAAGGGAGTCTGATTTTGGACTCTCCAGCTTTAGTAAATAAACCCCCATGTGTCCAGAGTCAAGTCACAGCCTATTGATTTCAATGGCACTTGTTCAAATCGGTGCAACTTTAAAAAAGGTGCCTGCACTATTTTCATGCGACTTTGATTCAGAGAGTGTAAAGTCAGATCAAAATCGTACTCTAAAGCACGCAATGCTGGAGTCACACTAGTGAGAAAGTAGACTAAATATTTTAAATGTAATTTTCTTGGAGGGGCAAGTTTCAACCCTTTATTCAATACATTTAATTCAGAATTAAACTAGCTCCATTTAGGTTAAAAATGCTGCTATTTGTTAAAACTTCCTCTTTTTTTGCACCTACTTCTTCTTACTCCCCTTGATTGTTCTCCTTCTCGATTCTTATTTTTTCTCTGTGTTGTTGACTTGGTCCTAAAAAAGGGCAGCGTATGTTGAAACTTAGGATGAGTGATATTTGGAGGATAGTTGTAAGGTTGTCTCCTTGAGTTTATATTGAGTTCCTGAACCCAAATGTCTCTCCCAGTTGAACTCCTCGTGTTCATTCTCAAGAGGGGTATACCGCTTATATGTGGGTGAAGGGTTTTATTGATTTCCTGAACTCCACCTATTTTGTTTAATCAGAGAATAGTTGTTTTCTATAAAACCCCTCCTTCTGGGGGATCTATATTACCCTTCCCCAGCTAATTTGTAGTTTCCCAAAAAACGTTTTCTTATTCCTATGGAGGATTGTAAAAGTAACCTCTTTTTTAGTGTAATGAATAGATGTATTTGGTATTTCCTCTATCTCCCATTACCTGTTCAGGTAAACATTTTGTTTCCTCCTTTTCTTTCTCCTGCCATTTAAAAACTTTGTGTGAAAAAATACTGCGAAAATAGTGTATCAAATAGTGTCAATATCACTCAATACAATGCAGATCACTATATAAAAAGTCAGATGGTATAAAGTCTAAAATCTTCCTCCACCAGGTTTATGTTTATATACCTACAAAAAGTGCTCACTCTACCAAATGTAAGGGGATGCACTTACCAGAGATGGATGCCTACTTTACAGCATGTTAGGCAAACAGCTTTCCATAAGAATGGTGATCACATCAATCCTTTCCTTAAAAAGTTGCTCTCTTGCACCGGATTCCTCAGATTAAAAATGAAAACTTCAAAAGGTTGTAGTACCATCAAAATATTTTATTGATACTACCCAAAACAGATTCACAAGCATATGTTATTTTTGTGCAGCCTGGATCAGGGGCGGACTGACCATTCGAGCACTCGGGCACTCCCCGAGGGCCCGGGGTCAGTAGGGGGCCCCATGAAATGCCCCTGGTACCTTTTATAGGCTTTTTTTGAGTGTCGGCAGGGACATAGGGGCCCCATGATCCCCTATTGCCCGGGGGCCCCATGAGTTGTCAGTCCGCCCCTGGCCTGGATACTTCAGAACACGAGTGTCCAGGCTGCACAAAGTCACATGAAACAAAATCCTGAATAACAAAATTTCGTTCAGTTTGTGTGGAAGAAGAGGTGTTTCTCCTCATCAAATGCATTCTATTATTTTTTACAATTTCTACATCTTCTAGAAGCAAAATATCCTTTAGTATCTAAGAAAGTGAATCTCCCCTTTGCTAGATCCATCATCCTCTGTATTATCCTATCTTCAAAATGTGGGGCCTTTCTATAAATGATACTTGGAGATTTGGGGAGAACCAAGCCTCACATATGACCATTTAATAGGACATGCCAGTATTCCTTAAATACCCTCTCAGTTTTCTCATATAGGCTATTAAAACAAGTAGTAAAATGCCACTGGTATATATTCTGTCCAGATACCTTCTGTTAATTGTATTTCAACAATAATTTTCTAGGGCTATTATAAGCATCCCTAATATCCCTATCCAAATTAATATCTAACTAACCGTTCAACAAATCTCTTTTGCTGATATACATCATACTGCCAAACGTATTGGGACACCCCTCCAAATCATTGGATTCAGGTGTTCCAATCACCTCCATGGCCACAAGTGTACAAAACCTAGGCATACAGACTGCTTCTACAAACATTTGTGAAAGAATGGGTCATTCTCAGGAATTCAAGCTCAGTGAATTCAAGTGTGGTAACGTGATATTATATATATATTATATATATATATAATATATATATACTGTATACACACATATGCATACTGCTCAAAAAATCAAAATGAACACTTTTTAATTAGAGCATAGCATCAAGTCAATTAAAAATCCTGGGATATTGATCTGGTCAGTTAAGTAGCAGAGGAGGTTGTTAATCAGTTTTAGCTGCTTTCGTGTTAGTGAAATTAACAACAAGTGTACTAGATGGGCAACAATGAGACGACCCTCAAAAGAGGAATGGTTTTACAAGTGGAGGCCATTGACATTTTTTTTCCCCTACTCATCTTTTTCTGACTGTTTTTTCACTAGCTTTGCATTTGGCTAGGGTCAGTGTCACTACTGGTAGCATGAGGCCATACCTGGACCCTACAAAGGTTGTACAGGCAGTCCAACTCCTCCAACATGGAAAATATTTTACTAGCAGGTGTAGTAGAGTAATAGAAATCCAACAGACCCAACAGTCATGACATGCATGTTGCTGATTGGGTTTTGAATTGAATCACTCATTGAAAGGGGCATGTTCAAAATAATAGCAGTGTGGAGTTCTATTAGTGAGGTCATTCATTCTATGAAAAACAGGTGGCAATTATTGCCCTTATTTAAGGAAGGAAGGCAGAAAATGTTGTACACGCTGGTTACAGTGCATTTCTCTCTGAAATTCTGAGGAAAATGGGTAGTTCCAGACCATTGTTCAGATAAGAACAGCGTACCTTGATTAAAAAGTTGATTGAGAGGGAAAACATATAAAGAAGTGTAGAAAATGATAGGCTGCTCAGCTAAAAAGATCGCAAATGCTTTTAAAATGGCAACCAAAACCTGAAAGACGGGAAAGAAAGCAAAAAACTACCATTCGAATGGATAGAATAGCCAAAATGGCAAGGACATCAGCCAACAATCAGCTCCAGGAAGATCAAAGAAGGTCTAATGTTACCTGTGAGTACTGTTACAATTAGAAGATGCCTATGTGAAGCCAAGCTATCTGCAAGAAGCCCCCGCCAAAGTCCCACTGTTGAAAAAAAACACCATGTGCTGAAGAGGTTACAATTTGCCAAGTGAGTACATTGACTGGCCAAAAGAGAAATGGCGCAACATTTTGTGGACTGATGAAAGTAAGATTGTTCTTTTTGGGTCTAGTGGCCGGAGACAGTTTGTCAGACGACCCCCAAACACTGAATTCCACAGTACCAGCATCACGCCACAGTACACTGTGAAGACAGTGAAGCATGGTTACGCAAGCATCATTATATGGGGATGTTTCTCATACTACAGTGTTGGGGCCTATTTTATCGCATACCAGGGATCATGGATCAGTTTGAATACATCAGAATACTTAAAGAGGTCATGCTGCCTTATGAAAAAAACCCCCAAGAGGAAAAAAACGTGCAACATCTTGGTTCCAGACCAACAAGATTGACGTTATGGAGTGGCCAGCCCAATCCCGGATCTTAATCCAATAGAAAACTTGTGGGGTGACATCAAAAATGCAGTTTCTGAGGAAAAACCAAGAAATAGAGAAGAACTGTGGAATGTAGTCCAATCATCCTGGGCTGGAATACCTGTTCACAGGTGCCAGAAGTTGGTTGACTCCATGCAACACAGATGCGTACAGCAGTTTATGCTCAGAAACAGTGGTTATACAACTAAAAAGTATTAATTAAGTGATTCAAAGGAAAGAAAAATCTTCAAACATTTCTCAGTTTATATAGTGAATGTTTGAGTTTGTAAAGAATACAAACACTGCTATTTTTTTGAACAGTTAAAGTAACGCAAAAAATGGCCTGGTCAGGAAGGGGTGTAAATCCTCTGGAAGGCAAGTAGTTAAGAACACTAAGGCCCTGATTTACTAAAATTGAGTCTACCAGCAGACGCTGAACATTCAGGCAGACTCAATTCAGTCAATCTAGACCTGTCAGTCTTCAGAAAGGCGTCTAGCAAACTCATTGAAAAGTGTCTACTTGTAGACTCTTTTCCTGTTAGTAAATCTGAAATCACGCCTAGCACGTTTATAGATGCAATACTGAATATGTTCGCTAGGTGGCGCACAATCGCAGGCTGTCCCGTTGGCATTTTTCTGTTTGCCTATGAGAATACTTATAATTTAAAATAAAAAGTACACCTATATATTTTTTTTTTCACATTTTTCACACTTATATCTCAAATAATTGGGAATGTCTAGTTCTAATTTCCCAGTATAATTATATATCTTAATTCTCTTTAATCATGTAACTATTCTATGTTATAGTAATAGTGCAGCGCTATAAATGCATGTGATCAATCATAATAACGCATGTAAAATCAAAAAAGTGCAAATAAGTGCAATAATGATGTAAAACTGGTAAACTGGTGCTAAAAAAAAGTTCATATAATCATTCCTGAATAATGGAATGTCCTTCGTGTGAGAGTACGAAATCAGAGAGTGCCTATGAATGGCACGTGTGGTTTATCCAAGACGACCAGTAGTGCATGAACTCGTGAAAGGTAATCCACCCTTGGGACGGGGTGTACACTAACCAGAACAAAAGTATTAATGGTATTCCACTGTCACTGTCAGCTGTTTACCGATCATAAGAACTTGGAATATCTTTGAACTGCTAAACGGTTAAGACCAAGACAAGCTTGATGAGCCTTATTCTTTTCAAGGTTCAATTTTCATTTAAGACATACCGTCCAGGGTCTACAAATGGGAAAGCAGATGCCCTATTCCGTATGTTCCCAGACACTCCTCAAACAGCTGCTCCCCAGTACTGTTTTTCCCCCCACATAATTTTCTGCTCATTCAGCCTGATCTAAAAGCAGCAATTAAACAAGCTTCACTTTCATATGCCGTGGTCTGAGAGGTTTTATCCTTAAGGAAGCATGAGGATTTCTTGTGGCATGAGGACAAGATCATTGTTCCCCAAGAAGTCAGGCCACAAATATTTAAGATATGCCATGACCACTTGCTTGCAGGTCACTTTGGGGTACGGAAAACAACTGAACTTGTCCAAAGATCCTTTTGGTGGCCAAACTGAGACAGGACTGTAAAGAGTATGTTAACTCCTGTGCAACTTGTCTATGCAATGAGGGCAGCCCAGGGGCGGACTGACAACTCATGGGGCCCCCGGGCAATAGGGGATCATGGGGCCCCTGTGTCCTTGCCCAAACTCAAAAAAGCCTATGAAAAAGGTACCAGGGGCATCTCATGGGGCCCCCTACTGACCCCGGGCCCTCGGGCAGTGCCCGAGTTTCCAAATGGTCAGTCCTGCCCCTGGGGCAGCCATAGCAGAGCCTGGGGCTTGCTGAGACCCTGCCAGTTCCTGAACAGCCTTGGAAGATGATTTCTATGGACTTCATTGTGGGTTTACCTCCCTCTGAGGGATTCACCACCATCCTGGTGGTAGTAGATAGACTGTCCAAAATGGCTCACTTCCTGCCCATGAGTGGGGTACTCCTTCCGCTACTGAAACTGCTCGAACATTTATTAAGGAGATAGGAAGACTACACGGGATACCCAACAATATAGTTTCTGACAGGGGTACAATTTACGTCCAAATTTTGGAGATCTTTGTGCAAAAGATGAATGTCGAAGTATGTCACTCATCTGCTTATCATCCACAGAGTAATGGGCAAACGGAGAGAGACTAACCAAACTTTGGAGCAATACCTAAGATGCTTCTCCACTTTCTCTCAGGATAACTGGGCATCTCTTCTTCCCTGTGCAGAATTCATCTACAACAACTCTGTCCATGCTTCCACCACCCAGTCTCCTTTTCTGGGCAAATTACGGTTTCAATCCTTCCTTCGTTCCAGATGCCATTCCAGAAGCATCAGTAGCTGCAGTCCAGGATAGATTAACTTTCATACAATCCAATTACAAGAGATACTCCAGAGGACCATGCAAAAAGCTCAGGAGGTTAACAAGAAACAGTTTGATAAAAAGAGGAGAGGTAACCCTGGGTGGAAGGTGGGTGTCAGGGACACGGCTCCAGGGTCCGCGATCGCGGCTCCGTCCCTCGCGCATGCGCAGTGGCAGCGGATCGCGCCGGGACACGGGCACTAGGTCCCGGCGAGCCGCGGCTGACAGGACGCCGCGCATGCGCAGTAGGAGCCGCGGGCGCGCCTCAGGCGTCCAATGACAGCCGGGGGAGCGTCCTAGCCGGCCAATGACAGTGCAGGGCGCACTATTTAAAGATGCCCTGCACTGTCACAGATTGCCGCAAGGTCTTCTGTGATCCTGAGTTCCTGCACCTATCCTGTGACCCTGATTGACCCTGACTATTCTGCCTGCTCCTGCGTTTGACCCGGATTGTCCT